TACTGCATCATTACTGTGTCTGTTCCCCTTTCGGGCTTGAACTGATGGTAAAACTAATGACATTAGATGAAGCTGGCGATTATGGTAAGGTGCGTTATATTTCCGACGAGTGCTTGTGGTGTTCGGCCAATCACAATGCACTGGGTCAGCTGGCCAATCAGAGCAGACCGCGCTTGTCGGAAGGAGGGGGCTTTGTAGAAAACGAAGCGTTTGAGAGAGGCGGGGCAGAGATGATACAATAATGTACAGTATTTGAAAAATAATGTGGTTTTTGAACATTAAAGCATGCCAACATATTCTGTTACACCAAATACACAAAATAATGATCTTTAAAAAAAGCACCACAAATGTTCTTCAGATTAAGATTTCAAATGTTCTTCAGACTAAGAGAAAGACTCTTCTATGGGGAACCAAAAGTGGTTGTTCTACAGCATCACGGAGAAAACCCCCTTTAGGAAGCTTTTAGTTTAGTAGGCATTTTTGGTCATCATAGTCTAGTCCAGGGGTCTCCAAGCTCGGTCCTGGAGGGCCGGTGTCCTGCAGAGTTTAGCTCCAACCCCAATTAAACACACCTGAAGCAGCTAATCAAGCTCTTATAGGCATGCTAGAAACTTCCCAGCAGGTGTGTTGAGGCAAGCTGGAGCTAAACTCTGCAGGACACCGGCCCTCCAGGACCGAGTTTGGGCAGCCCTGGTCTAGTCTAAGCCTAGTGAGCGGCCTACGATGATCAAAAATGCTGTCTAAGTTGGACAAGTCATACTAGCCCTATACTGTGTTGCTCAATAAGGTTGCAGCTCAACAGTCAGGAGGTTCACTTGATTCTCACACAGTGAAGCCCGAAAATGTATGAATGTAGATTACCTGAATATAAGACTATGATGCTTAAATATGCAGCTCTCTAGGTTTTAATCCCAAGATGGCCAAAAGCGCTGCCTCAGTAGACAGCACGCTTAGTTTTGATCGTTATGGGTGAAGTCAGTCCAGTCATTTAAAACCCTTCGCCGGTCAAAACAAACAGCTCTAAAAGATCGACAACACAACACTTGATCAAAACAAGATGCAATGTGTTTTATATACTATAACCCTCTCTGGAAAACGCAACACGCGCGTTTATTTACACTCGCCGACGCTATTTCTGGAGTAACAGTTCAACTGATGAGTCCGACTAACGGCTTTAGCTTAGCCTAGCATGCTAACGTAAACCCTCGGATCAAACAGCGTCACATTCAGCCGCGTGAAACAGCACCTACCTCGGCCTCTCCCTCCTCTAGACTCCGCAGGCTCCATACCACCAGTCCCTGGAGCAACAAGACCGTTAAAGCGGTCGCGATTGCGAGTTTGTACCGTCTAAGCAGCTTCTGCACACGGGTGCTCGCGACCATCTTTCCCCCGTGAATCTTATCTGGCAGCGAGTCGCGTCGGCAGCGAGTGACTCACTCGGAGGGAGTCGACTCTTCGAATCAGAATGTGAACCGATCAGCGCCCTTTCAGGAAGCGTTGTGGTTCAGAGTCTTTTAGCCAAGTGATTCTGATTCAAGTGAATCAAACTGAGAGTCGGTATTTATTTGTTGTTTGTTGTCTTTTTGACACATTCAATACAATTACAACAACAACAGTTTTCACATGCTATAGTAAACAATATTATAGGAATACATTAAAGAGTGCACAAGCTTGCAAAATAGCTTTTTATTTTTTCGAGGGCAATACAGACTCAATTTAATGCATCACTTCATTTTTAAATGCTATAAAACATGATTTTTTTTCCTGAAAATTTATATTTATGAATGTGAAATGTAGCCATTAAACTTAAAAAATAATCATTTAAAAGTCTGTTTAACTTTAAAGTTTACAATAATGCCTAAAAGACATCTTTCCACTGTAAAGTAGCATTTTCGTCAACATGGTCACCAATAAAGTCAAGTAGCTACATTTCGACAAAAAAAAAAGAAAGGAAAGGAAAGGAAAGGAAAGAAAGACACATATGAACTGTCTCTGGCTTCTGCTTGCAAAAGCTACAGCTTACATCTATGTCTTTTTAAAATGTAATTAAATAAAGTTTAGCAGGGCATATTCTATGAAGGAGTTTAAAAGATATTTCTTTAACCTTGTTTGTGAAGAGATAGCGATTGGGCAGAAGCAGACTTTTCCCAATCCACATCACTCACAAATGGATTCCAATGCAATTACATCTGGAAAAGTGCTCCTGTTGAACTGTTATAATTATTACAATGATAGGAAATACATATTTTACCTATAGTACCTATAGGGCAGTGACTGGGTGAGAGTTTTTTGGCTGTTTATATATATATAAAAAAAACTTTTGTTTATATAAAATGTCCTTATTATTCCAAATGAAGTAATGGTGTGGTGAAATATTGTGTTTATAATGTATATATATTATATTATAATGTGTTTGTAATTCGAATTCCACGCTAGAAAAGGTTGACCATGAAATGCCGAAAGTTTCACAGGTATTTTGTTAATATCAAAATTGCAAACAAGGGAAAAAATGATGCCACGCAGACTAGATAAATATGGAGAGGAATCATATTCCAAACAGAGGTTGGGTACTTAAAGCGATAGTCCACCCAAAAATGAAAATTCTGTCATCGTTTACTCACCCTCAAGTAGTTCCAAACCCGTATACATGTCTTTGTTCTGCCGAACAGAAAGGGAGATATTGTGAAGAAAGTTTGTAACCAGGCTGTTTTGGGGGCACCATTGACTTCAACAGTAGGAGAAAAAAAATACTATGGAAGTCAATGGTGCCCCAGAACTGCTCTGTTTCCCACATTCTTCAGAATATCTTCCTTTGTGTTCTGCAGAACAAAGACATTCATACGGGTTTGAAACTACACGAGGGTGAGTATATGATGACAGAATTTTCATTTTTGGGTGAACTGTCCCTTTAAGAAGTTGTCTAATCCAGTTGATTTTTAAAGTATTGTTTAGTATAGAGAAGTCAACAGTCTCTCAATTCATAATCATATTGTTGATTCACAAATTCATGACTTTATATATATATATATATATATATAATGATTTAGAAGAAATAAATACACATTTCATGCACGAATCCCTCAAGTTGTCCTTGTGTTCGGTGTGAGAACAGATTAATGCACGGGTAAATAACTCTCTGTAGCTTTCCACACGCTCTTCGGAAGAATGTGCGTTGCTGTATTTCTCTGCGAGCACATAAACAAAGCACAACTTTATTTTTGTCTATTTCACATGTTCCTGTCGCCGAACGAATCCTACCACGACGAAGGCTTCGCTCTCTCAATTCATAATCATATTCTTGATTCACAAATTCATGACTGTTTATATATATATATTGATTTAGAAGAAATAAATACACATTTCATGCACGAATCCCTCAAGTTGTCCTTGTGTTCGGTGTGAGAACAGATTAATGCACGGGTAAATAACTCTCTGTAGCTTTCCACACGCTCTTCGGAAGAATGTGCGTTGCTGTATTTCTCTGCGAGCACATAAACAAAGCACAACTTTATTTTTGTCTATTTCACATGTTCCTGTCGCCGAACGAATCCTACCACGACGAAGGCTTCGCTCATGAATATTAATTAGTCGCCCGTTGCCTAGCAACCTTCCAGCAGCGTCCACTCCCGACCGTCATTAATATTCATGAGCCACGCCTTCGCCGTGGTAGGATGCTCTGTGCGTTCAGTGATGACTGAGAAGTTCACTCTCATCTCTCTCAAATGAAGCTCGGAAGAAAGAAAGACCGCTCTTCTGGTGACTTACTATGAGACCGCTTGGGTCGCCTGTAAGAAAAGGTTGTATTTGTCAGAGATGTCCACCACTGTGGCCCCAAAAGTCCCCTCTGCGAGCTCCTCGGCGGACCAGCGGACGATCGTCGTGGGTGCATGCAAGTAGAAATGTGTTATGTTGTATTAGATATGAATACAGTCTTTTTCAATAATTCTTTTTCAGTGTCTTAAGTGGGCTAATGATACATAAAAACCCTAACCCCCTTTTTTTTTTGCTTTACAAGCAGTATTATTTAATTTTAAAATGGTTCAACTCTATGAATGTATGGAAGGCCGTTTCTGCCACTAAATAAAAAAATACAAAAAAATCGCGACTTTTTATCTGACAAATTCTGACTTGTTCTTGAGAAAAAAACTCGTGTTGTGAGATAAAAAGTCACAATTACCTTATTTAAGTTTTTATTCAGTGGCAGAAACCGGCTTCCATAGTTAAATGACAGTACAAGGTCTTACAGTTTTTTTATTATTATTATTAATACAGAGATTCACTGTTATTGCATCTTCAAAACATCTTTAACCCTTTAACTGTCACACATAGACGTGAAAGTGCACATCCAAACTTACATTTGTATAATTCATGAACGAAAACTTTTTGTAGCATGATATCGATGTACCATTTTCATGGTAATGCAGTGTTTGATTTTAAAATGGGTTTCAAAGGATGAATTTTGAGATTTAAAGTTTTCAATTGATATATCATTTCTGATGATTTCTAAAGTGCGATCGAGAAAAAGGTATGGTGGCCGAGAAGTGCAGAACAAATCACAATTCTGAAAACAAAATAAATTACAAACGCAAATGCAAGTCTAAAAAACAAAATAACAATTCAGAAAACATTATAACAAGTCAGAAAACACAACGACAAATCAGACAAACTGGAAGAGGTAGGTATAGTTTGAGACAGCGCCATTGGTTTGGGATTACTCACCGCTGACTGGACGAGACATCTGTCAATCACCGTATACAGAGAAGAACCAGCCGAAGAACAGCAGAGTCGTGGTAGAAAGTTCGGAGATGGTATTAAAGTAGCTCAGTTTAAATGTATTGTATAAATTGCCCTTACTATGGAATAAAAAATACGGAGTGTATATTTACATTTAGTTAAAAGTGGCTATAAAACATCAGCTCCAGTGGTGCAGATGGATAAGTGTGTGTCATTGGCTTTTTAATGTGATCGACCCGGGTTCGATCCCGTCTTCTGCCGAGCTTTTTTTCCCTCCCTTTTCAAATCTCGTATTAGCAATGGATTCTATTTACACTAAGTGAAAATAGC